TACAACGTAGAGCCTAACTGATCTTATGTAATGAGATTGTGTTTGTGTTTAAATTTAGGATTTATAACATGAGGGGAAAATCATACAGCAATGTAAATTGAACATAAAATGCACACAATTAGAAGCTAGGAGAGAAAGTAAATTGAGTGATTCCTTTCCTTCTTTTATGAGTCTGAAGATCCTTTTCTGAGTAGGTAGAATTGGGTGATTAACCTACTTTGGTACAAGTAAAGCAGGCAGACTGGGAAGTCTTCCAGGGACAAGAAGAGAGGGCACATTAGGACCAGTGATGTAACCAGTATGAGGATCTTAAGAAACTGTGGAAAGCAGGGCAGGATAGTAGCATGGAGTAAAATGAGTAAGACCCATGTTTACTTTCTATTTGCCATCTATACTCAAAGTAAAGCTTACTTTGAAAAGATACTGTAGGGTTTTTTTTATTTTATTAGACATTTTCATATCTCCATTCATAGAATCTGTCTCTATTTTAAAAGAGAAAGAAAAAAAATTACCTTGAGTCAGCTTAGAGCACAATGCCCAACTCTGTAGATTGATCTTCATGATGACAATATCCTGCAGTCATGTCACTTTCTTCTTTGAGCTCACATGCCATGGAGTCTATGTATTAGAATACAAGGTGGCTGTAGAGGTTCTGGTGTCTTCCACCAACTGTTCCAAAGGCCTTTGCATTAGAATGACTACAGCTTTGTGATAAAATTTGAGCACCTGGGTTTGAAATGTATCTGCCATTCCTTAGCTGGAAGATCTTAAGCAAATCACCTAAACTCTTTGTTTCACAGTGTTCTCATTTGAACTGAGAGGAATAGATAGGAATAGGGCAAACTGAAAGTGGCCATCATCAGTATTAACAGAGGCATAGCACTTAGAATACTAAGTGGATAAAGTACCGACCATGCAAGGGTAGCATTATTATTCTTATTATCTCTAATAAAAATAAATGTATAACTAACTATTTCATAAAATCAGAGTCTCTGGCTTGTTGGTTAAACCTCACAGTGAATTTTTTCAATTACTTTAAATTTAGTTACATTATATAATTCTTCGATTAACGATTTAACTTTAAAGATTTATTTATTTTTATTTTATACTTATGGGTGTTTTATCCTGCATGTGTATCTGTGCACCACATGCTTACAGTACTTTTAGAGGCTAGAAGAGGGCATTGGATCCTCTGGAACTGGAGTTACAGATTACTATAAGCCACCATATTGGTGCTAGAAGCCTAATTCTAAGTTCTTATAACTGCTTAGGCATGTCTCCAGACCTAACAATTTAGCTTTAAGAAGATTTCAAATGAGAACTTCTAGCACAGTCACTCCTCTACTGCTATAGCAAAACATCTGGCAATAAGCATGTTGAATTGCTGTGTGAATAGGTTTTCAAAATGTTAAGTAATTGAGAGAGAGGCAGGAAACTATTGTGCTCCGTGGAGGTATAATGAGAACTCTATGTTGACAGGAGAGATGGTTTCACCCCTTTTGCTGTGCCCTGACAACCCGTATTTGGGTAGACACAAATCTATAACATTTTCCTAAAAGCAAGTCTACATGGGCTGAGGCCTGAAAAGTACATAGAAGCTGGCTGCATTGATGAAGAATAACAATCTTAAAAGTTCCAGGAAGTTTTTTTAGGTACTATTGCCACACAGGGATGCTCATCTTTGCATTCCACACTCTGAAAGAAAGTATAGGCATACACCATGCTCACAGGCACATGAGCAATAGGGATCTGAACTCTTGTACTCAGGTTTGCTCTGCAAGTGCTTTACTGATGAGACATCTCCTCCATTTAATGCCCCCTTTTAAATAATAAAACAGAGACAGTCTCTGCTCACACATCCTCAATTAATATTATCTCCTTCTTGGGCCTCTGTGGGAGTTGAAGACTAGATAGGTATAGTTTTCCTTGTTAACCAGATTCAGAAAAGAAGCTCACTAAACAAGTGTAAAGTATATAAGGTTGAGAGACATAAAAAGATAATTTTGAGTTGGTAATGCAAATTAGAATAGAAAGTAAATTAGGTACAAGACTTTGGACTCACCAAGATAGAACAGATAATGGAATATTTTCTCTGTATTTATCAAATGCAAATGGACTAGACATTGTTGGTACTTATTGCCTGTATATATTGTATATATTATTATACTCATTGTACAAGGTTTTTCTTATGGTAGCTGTAGCCTTCTTTTTGTATTAGATAAAAAATGCTAATTGTGGTGATATACTATTTATGATTTATTAAAGCTTGCCTGAGCTATAGAGGTCAGATAGCCACAAGCTCTAGAGGTCAGGTAGTGGTGATACATACCTTTAATCCCAGCAGCCATACTAGGTAGCCAGACATGGAGGCATACCCTTTTAATCCTAAAACTCAGGAGACAGGCAGATGGATCTCTCTGAATTCAAGGCCAAGCCTACACAAGAGTGAAGAGAAACAGCTCACACAAAGATGATCTTAGCAGTTGGGATCACATGCCTTTAATCCCAGCACTAGGGAGATATAAAAAGCAAAGGGTCTTATGTGGAGATTGATTTTCCAGGTACTCTGAGGCAGCAGTCAGAGGTTTGGTGGAGGACTCATGCAGACAGGATCAGCCCTTTCAGCCTGAGGTAGACGTAAGAGCTAGTGGCTTGACGACTGCTTTGCTTCTCTGATCTTAGGCTTGAAGCTTGAACCCCAATATCAGCCTCTGGGTCTTTTGTTTTTTGTGTTACATCCCTGGAACATGCTGGCTAGTTACGCTAGCTGAATCATCATGCTCCAGGTGTAAGTGGGAGACTCACCTGGATATAGAAAGTGGATTGTTATCTAGGAAGATACCCAGTGCCATCCTGCATCCCAAATGCATATGTTCATATGCGCAAGCACATTTGTACACACGCACACACACTGTCTGCCCATATACATATGAACATGAACATATATGTTTCTGGTCTTCATCTTATAGTATACACATAGAATTTCAGTTTAACATCTCCTTCTCTTATTGGCATTAAATTTTCTAATAGGTATAGATTTCTAGTAATTTATGCTAAAAATGTGCATCATTAAACTCTGAAAAATGCAGTAAAAATATAATTGCTATCTGCTACAGAATGGCTACAGGCTGATGGTATGAGCAGTTCCTTTTAGGAGTTCACTCATCTAAACCTCACAGGAAAGAAAATCTTCTCTCATGGCCTAAGTTGTTGTTCTTGGTGAGTAGCAGAGCAAGGGTTTGAGTTTGGGGTTAACTAGTACAAGTTCTTGATGACCGCTGAGCAAGTTCTGGATTAATTTCTCACCAAAAGTCTGTGTGCCTTTCCATGGGATTTAAAGCAATATTCAGAGGAATAACTTCTGTGACGGTTTTCTTTCTAGAGCCTTCTGTAATTTTTGCCATAGAATATTTTGAGTGGTAAGTTCCCTTTCTTCTCTGCAGAGATGAATCTCTCCAAGATTTCTTGCTGTAAGCATTTTTCTCACCTAAAATTACTTTCCCATCAACATTTCCATTTGCTTTTTTTTCTAGCTCATATAGCAAACTACTTGAATAATGCATATTATTTTCTATATGTTTTTCAGGATATTGTATGATTAAATCATTCATGTGTATTTCTGTTATAGAAACAGGCTTTCAAAATAAAGGGAGCTTCACTTGTAAATACCTTAAATTTTAGACTGTATCAAAATGCATTTAATGAATCTAAAAACTAAATTCTAAAATCTAGTAGTCATTAAATCATACCTTCCAAATGGAAAAGGAAAGAAATGGAGTTGTTCTTTCCATCAAGGCAGGCTCATTTCAGGCTCCCTTCAATAAGCAATGACTTATGTGAAGCCTATCTGGTGATATAGATGTCTACCATTTGCTATTACTTGAGACAATCAAGTCAGTGTCTACTTTGACCACAGCCACTTGATTCATCATCTTTCTGAAGATGATCCTTCGTAGGCTTGTCCTCAAATCTTCATCTTTGCACACAATCCGGTAATTGACAAATGCCGGTGTCAGACGTCACTGGGTTTCCACTAATGTTTTTTTCCACTCATTTCTGGATTCTTCCAAGTCAGAGGCTGCAACTGGCTCCATCAGGAACAACATAAAGGCCATTGAGATAGCAGTGACTTCCAAGCTGTTTGCTAAATTTATCTGTTCAATACTTTCTACTCAAATTGAAACCGTGGGCTATAATTACGGAATGCGAGAAGAGAACAGGAGCTTAAAGGTCATCTAATCTAACTCCCCCATTTTTCCATTGAAAGGGTGGGGGGCCTAGACATATGCTGTGATTTGCTTGAGGCCACAGAGCTAATTAAGGGTGGAACTTGAACTAAGATCTTCTCAGCCCTGGGGCATTGCTAAAATAACCAGATCTTGAAGCACAGACGTAGCTGTTATTATTGGTGATGGTTTACTGTTGATAGCCATTCATCGATGTGGTGGCTAAGTGTGAAATAGCAAATATATCTGACTTAGAAACAAAGAAATGACATGATCCTATACCCAGGCCCTGCCCCCAGCTCTGAAAACTTCCTGCTTTATGTCCATCAATAATGAATGGCCCATCCCTGTAATGCTCAGAGGGAGCTTACGCTGCGCTTTTGAGCAGCCGGTTAGTAATCTACAGTGGATAGAGCCTTTCTTTTAAATCCCAGGGCAGCAGGCCCTTCAAGGCTAACATTGCAATTTCAATTAGCTGCTGAGTGAAAGCTTGGCATGTGTATTAGTGAGCAGGGACACAATTAGCTTATTCTTCCTTTCCCAATTGTGTTGAGAGGATCCAAAAGGTTGGTGGGGGATCAGGCAAGCCAGGCACCACCGGCTACTGGAGAAAGGAGTTGCTCAAACCTGGACATCTTCACTGGCTCAGGCTGGAATTACAGAGATTTATTACAAAGCACTGTGTGTGGCTTGGTGAAGTTGCCTCAGGAACACTCCGGATACCACTTTGTCCTTTTGAGTGCTTCACCGCTCTGTCTTATTCTCGTCATTAACATGGAGCCCAACAGCCCCAAAAAGATACAATTTGCTGTGCCTTTATTCCAGAGTCAGATTGCTCCAGAGGCAGCAGAGCAGGTAAGGGGAGTGGATGGGGAGCAATTCCTGGATATTGGGCAATAAGGGCATGGGTTCTTACTAGGTGAAAGGCTCTCTTCTTTCTGCATTTATTTGCCTAGTTCTGTGACTTTCAGGATGAGAAATGAGTCTGCTTTTGCACTTGTGTTTGGGTTGCATCGGGGAACAATTGACTGAGATTTTAGCAGCACCTCATTTTATATAAAATTAACACCAATGCATTAGGCATTCTGCATTAGGCTCTGAAGCAATATGTGCTGGTTTTAGCTTCTTAAAGTAACAGTTTCAACATTTAGAAGAACTTTGAAAACATTATTAAAAACTATCATTCTTTTATTTCATTATTTATAAAATACAAAGAAATATAAAAATTAAAGTAATAAATCCCAGACTAATTTAGTATTATAGGCAGGTGTCATATTTTTATGTATTCTTATTGCATATCACAAACTATGGTTTGGCATTACATATGAGCAATGGATATTCAAAATGATATACTACTTTTCCTAGTATCCTTTCCTATGTTGGCTATTGGTTTCTAATTGTATCATGTCCATATTGCTTAGAGTCTGGGTGCAATGGACCCACTTAAGAGATGTTCTATGGCATAAAAACAAATATGGAGTATTTTGTGAATAGCAAAGAAAATTATGGAAACTCCAATCTAATTCATTAATTACTTAAAATCCAGAAGACCACTGAATCCTTGACAAGAAGCCTTAAAGTAAATATTGATACTGGGAGTCTTACTTTATATGATGCTTTGACAGTAGATTCACCCAGATTTGGACCATATAAATATAACCTTGACCAGATCTGTTCACTGAACTGAGCATTGCTTCCATCTTGAACAACATCATTTGTACACTTTATCCTTTATCCTATTGACAAGTATTCTTGGAATTAACTATGAACTGATACATTGAATGACTAAAGGCTGCCTGAAGCAAAAGAGTCTAGTCATAACATGTTCCTGTAATTCCTATAACAAGGGACTGAATCCACCAAATCTTAGTTTCAATTAAGTATATATTCATTTTTTCTTCTACACTTTTGAGTAACTTTTACTTATTTATACACAATTTCACATACATATATAATACATCTTAATTATGTCTACCCCAGCTCTTCCCTCCCACTTTGTTGACACCCACTAATATTCCCCCTCATTTTCATGTTCTCTCCCTTTTATTCTTTCTTACCTACGGGGTCCAATTAGTAACCCCTGAAGGAACCAAAATACACATTCTTCTAAGATCTGGATTTCTCTTTGACCTGCCAATTTGGTCTGAGTATTAGAAAATAAAAATTTAAGGATAGTAATTGAAATCTAAAACTTGCATTGACAAATTAATTACAGTACTAGTAGAAATTTGAGAGCTCCAAGTTCCTTTTGCCTCATTTAGATGAGAGCAAGGGACCATGGTATCAATGCCAATGTCATGGAGCTTTACCACAGTCACTTAAATAAAAAAGTCATCCTTGTACTTTGCAGCAGATTACTTTTAGTTTCATATTTTGATGATGCAACAACTATTTTTTCCTTTGGAAATGTAACTTTGTGGTCAAAGAAGGTGTTACTAATATCTGGCAGTTCTTGCTAGATTCCAGGGCTCTGAAATATACAGTGAGCAAACACTAAGTTCCTCCTAGAAGTTTGTTCATGTGTGCTAGGCAAAGAGGAGGGTGGGCAGCTTTTCAAGCTGTAGAATCAATGAAGGGCAGTGTCTAAGTATCACCCTGACATCAGCTGTGCCTTTGCTGTTCACAGATCAGGAAAAGAAGACCTACACCAGCATCCCTTGTGATTCTCAATGAGCATAATCCCCCAGGTAAAGAGGCATGACGTCTTTCCTATTGATGAGATGGAGCAGAACTGTCTAAAGAGGAGCAACCAGTATGACATTGATGATAAGTACCAGCTTAGGGCTCCAGTTAGCTAAAAGGAATCATAAACAAAATCAGTAATAAATATCATAAGAACTGTCTCAATCAGCAGCCAACCTTTCTTCTAGGACGACACACTGGTTAATGACAGGGTATACCATGTTTTATCAGCATTTATTGCTGTTTGATTATATGGAACCTGGTCCAGACCTTATTGATGAAGTTGGTAAAATGTTTGTTAATTAGGTTTCAAGGTTCAAGCTGCAGATCTGGAGATGATTGTATTTTTGTCCAGTGTGATTTTATTTATGGTATGGGAAATGTCACATGCCAGCATTTGCTGCAGCCTTGCTGCTGATGTCATCTCTGAATGATGCAATTGACAAGGAACCAGATCAATTTTCAGCACTGCCCATTTGAGAGCCATTCTGAACGCTTGCATCCATTTGTTGAGGTTTTAGTTTCCATTTCCTGTAAAAAGTAAAACTGCATTATTAGTCTTGATAAAGAGCTATGATCTGTAATACACAAACAGTAAGCTTACTTACTGAGTGGAGTGATTTTCATCTTACATTTAATGGCAGCCCCTGGAAATATAAAGAGATGAGGGAAGCTCATTAATTTGTAACGCAGAAGATCACAATGGTTTTTGTTGTTGTTGTTGTTGTTGTTGTTGTTGTTGTTCATTTGTTCACTTGATTGTGACTATACACAAAGGAGGCAAAAAAAAGTTTGAATAATGGAAAGAGAATATGTCTATTTCTAAGTCCTGAATGATTTGTTCTAGAAATGTCACAATAAAATAGTCCTTGACTTCTCTGGAACCTTCCTAGTTATAGAAACACACAAAAAGAAAGAAAAATTCTCATAGAATATTTATTATCATGTCTAAATATAGGAAAATTAGCAGCTCACTGAAACAAGTAAGTTGTTTCTGCCGACAAAAATGAATTATAATCTGATCCTTAAGCATTAAAGTGCGTCACATCTTAAAATCATCTTCAAGTGTATCACTTAAGTTATTAAGTATTAACTTATATGCAGTTGATTAAGAGGTACAAATGACACATACATGCATGGTATAGCTTACAAATAAATGTAAGTTTCTAAGTTCAATGACTAAGTGTTTTCAATGTGTAAGTGAGTGTTAGATTCTAAAGCAAAAGCCCTAGCTCTAAGACTTTTCCTAGTAAAAATGATATGACCTGGTATCTGTATTTACTGGGGAAAGAACTTGAAGTCAGATTCCCCAGAAAGATGATAAAACTCAGCCAAACTTGGTTACTGATATTTATTAGTCCTATAATATTGGGTATCATATATCAGACAGATATGATAATGTCCATTTTTCCCACTTCACGAGCTATTTTAATGACCAAATCATTTAACATGAACATGCATTGGAAACTGCAAAACAAATATTAAGGATCTGATATAATGTAGAACTCACAAATTGCATGCTGTACTTACATTACAAGTATGCACACTTCTTTGCTCACATCTGCCCTGAGAATATCTGTCTTATGCAACAATTCTTAGTTACAATCATCTGGCCACTTGTGAAGCATTTCCTAAGAGCTTCTATTTTGCAAAGCATCTGTTTCTTATGCCCTCAAAAGCAGTGGTTTTTAACAAACAAAGAATGGTACAGCTTTAAATACTGAGGTGGTGGTGGTGGTGGTGGTGGTATGGTAGAGGAGGTGGTTGTTGTGTTAGTTGGTGGTATGGTGGTGGTGGTGTGGTGGTGGTGGTGGACTAAACAATTCTCAGTTTGCTGAAAAGGCCCATGAAATAATTGGAGATCATATAACATTAATACTGCTTAAGATTCAAGTCCCCGAAATGTTTCTTTATGGCAAATAAATGAAACAAAGAAAGTTATATTCTTTATTATAGATAGATATTCATGAGTCATTTTATCTGCATGTGATAATCCTAGCTCTTAGAGAGGCTGAGATAGGATTGCTTCCAGTTCCAGATGTCCTGAACCATATAAGGTGTACCTGGCCAACCTGAGTTACATTGTTTACAGTATGAAAAATTGTCTTTAATACTAGAAAAGATTATTTTCAATGTGTTATTAGTGAAACAATAGAACAGGATATTTTAACATGTTAGTCCAGTTGTTCCATTTGTTTGCTACTTTGCATGTGATGTTCTAAACACACAGAAAAGGTAGACACCCAATTTCGATTACCATGGCAAGAAACTATAGCCTCAAATCTTCACTAACAAATAAGCAAGCAAATTACCCCCAGAAGAAGCTCTATGAAACAGGCATGCAACTATTAAAGTTATATTACCCTTTGACATTGATCAGCAAATAATTTAACTCAAAATTATAGGAATAAGAAAGGCTAATAACAAATGTGTCTTTATTGTAGAAAAGGAATAATCAAAGTACTTGCATTCAGAAATAACTCTGAACAGTCATGTGGCAGTAACAAGATACTAGAAGCATAAGATCTGGGTTTGGGGAATCATCAAAGACAAATGTCACCTTCTCCCTGTCTTCTCAGGCCTGTAACTAGAGTGACTTTTGAAGAAACTGCTTCTCTTTCTGTATGTTCAGCTCCTCTTCTATTTGAGCTTATCAGTTTCTCTGAAGTTGTATTTTAGAGTATCATTATTGTTGCTATAGTAAATGCAGTTAGCTTTTACTCTTCTGTAATCTGTGGTCAACTGGTGTGGTCCTTATAGCTTTATCTGTACTCACACATAAATCATCATAATGCGGCAATAAATGGCAACTGCCTTTTGTATTTATTCCACCTCATATATGGATTTAATTCAACATTGCTTGTCTTTAAACAGACATAAGCCTGTGTATTTGGCTATGAGAATGTTATGGTTTAGAATTAACTGTCCCCTAAAGGCCCAACATACTCAAATCTTGACCATTAGTGGAAGTAGGACCTCCTGGAGGGAAGCAAGGGTATAGTGGTAATGTCTAGCTGTCTGGAGACAAGTCCTTACTATAATGCCTTACCCTACCAGAGGCCCACAATGAAAAAGAATGCTGGGTTATCACTGTAAAGACATGGAAGAAAATGAATCTCCCTCCACAGCAACAGAAAACTGATTAATCCATAGATTTAGAACTCAAGAGTTAGGAAGAGAAACATGTTTAGAAAATGCTTCCAGTCTCATCTCAAATTGTTACAGAAGTCTCCTTGAGACTGGCTCCACTTTATGCACCTCAGAGAAAAATACATAATTATATCTAGATTTCAGGTCCAAGTCTAATAATTTTAGAGGTAAAGAAATAGTTTCTTATGCCAATGTTAAATATAAATTCTCTAACTGACAATAAATCTTCACTTATTCTATTCAATAAAAGTAGTTTTTCCACCTAAATAGACACATAAAACAATTACTTGTTGTTATTTTCTACATCAAATATCCATTTCCCAGAACCACTCAGGTTTTCAGTGACGCCTTTCCAAATTCTCCTCAATTTCTCTGCATTTTCAGCCCAGAGCTGAACACAGTCTTCCAGTAAAAAGCCAGTCTAAACCAGGCTTTGTGAATATTAAGGTTTGTGGCATCCATTCTTTTCCACTTACTGTTATGGTTACAATTATACTTAATGGGCCTGAGGTCTATTAAACATGATTGAACTACAAGAAGCTAAGTAAAGATTTAGGTAAGTACCCAAGACTCTAAAAGCTTATTATACATCTAAAATTGTGACTGGAAATACAACATAAAATAATTTGGAAGGGTATTTATTGAATTTACAACCAAGCCAAATTTGGGAAAAGTTGGCTTTCTCTTGACTATTTTACCCCCTAAAGTAATCTTAGAATTAGGAATTAAAATAAAAAAAGATATTATCATATACATTGAGGTCCTAAAATTAGCTTATATGGAATTTATGAGCTATAGCATAGGAACATGCCATCTGCTTTCAATCTTGATAGAAAGTTGATAGACCTGAGAGAACTGGGATTCCCAACATATGGGACTATGTGGCTCTGCAAACTGAACAGAAAGCCAGTGACACTCTGTATACCATCGAAGATGACTTATAAACAAGACATATAATTTATGACTCTGAAACTAAGTCACATAATGAGATTTTGAAAGCTCCATTTGTAGAATCCTAGCTAGAAAACATACTGCCATTCAAACACAAAGGACTCCCAGGAATTTTGGAAGATTTCTCATGAATCTTCTTTTTCAGGATTAATGGTAAGCATTGCATCATCATCAAAGTCAAAGTGCATAGTTATTGTCTGTGAATGAACCTCTTAGTGGCAATCCTGTTGTTTTTCAAATTGAACGACTATGTAGTCAAAAGAGCACCATGAATGAAGGCCCCAGGGAGACAATGAAGATTTTTTTGGAAACTTATCTATTTGATAATAGTCATATACCAGATTCAGAGGTGACAGTTGTCTCCAAGTACCTTGTATCCATCGTGTTCAAATAAAAGTAATGCTGGTAGTTTTCATTCTAAATTTTCATACCTTCTTTGGCAATGTGATTTTATCCTGACCCACCTTATCCTCTGATTACTCAGAAGTTTTCATGCCTAATCACAACTGACTACAGTGAAAATTCCAAATCCAATGTTTGAAGATCACTCAAGAGTTATCTGATACTAATTCCTAAGGAAATGTCAGAGATGTCCATGCTTTTTTTCCCTTCAGCATTTATTTTTATGCACCATTAGATGTCAAACCATGTGGAAAGATTTAAAGACAAGTGATGTAAGTTGATTTTAAGGATCACCCTGCACCTGATTGACTTTCTTTTCATCATTATTTATCCTGTATAGCCAAATTGTACACTCAAATGGAAAAGTTGAGTCAAAGGCAAATTCTGACTCTCAGTAGTGCCAAGGTGTCTTATAATGTAAGTATTCAGATGAAGTAATATAATATTCAAATTAAACAAAATAAGATGAAATGGTAAATAACAAACAGAAACACTTCAACTT